CACGTATTATTATATGATGATCTGTATACACGTATTTTTATACAATAGTACGTTTACAAGTATTATTATATGAATATCCGTATACACGTATTATTATGCAATAGTACGTATTCACGTATTATTATACAATCGTACGTTTACACGTATTATTATGTGAAGATCTGTATACACGCATTATTATACAATAGTACTTTTACACGTATTATTATATAAATTTATGTACATACGGGTTATTATAGTTTGTATAAACGTGTGGTTTATAAATAAAGATGTATACACATTATTTTAAAACAGTTATATACACGTATTATTAGATGAATATCTGTATACAAGTATTCTTATATGAAGATCTGTATATACGTATTATTATATGAAATATCTGTATACACGTATGATTATATGAATATCTGTCTACACGTATTATTATATGATGATCTGTATACACGTATTTTTATACAATAGTACGTTTAAACGTATTATTATATGAAGTTTTGTATAAACGTATTATTATATGAATATCTGAATACACGTATTATTATATGAAGATCTGTATACACGTATTATTATGCAATAGTACGTATACACGTATTATTATACAATAGTACGTATTCACGTATTATTATACAAAAATATGAATACACGTTTTATAATAAAAAATGTGTTTACATGTCATTATCCAAACTTTGTATACACAATTCGTTTTAAATAAAAATGGTATCACGTATTATTAAACAATAGTATATACACACGTATATTTATATAAAAATATGTACAAACATGTTATAAAAAAGTCTATACACGTGTTATTATACAATAGTTTGTATACAGGTTTCGTTTTATTACATAAAAATGTATATACACATATTGCTATACAAAAGTACTTATATGCATATTATCATTTCAAAATGCATATATATTATGTTATCATATTAGACAAACACATGTATTATGATACAATATCTCACATACACGTATATTATAATATAATATTAAACATACACGTTTATCATTATGCAATGTTATACAGGCACGCATATTATGATATGTATTATTATAAATGCATGTATAATGATACAATATAGTACAAACATGTATATTATAAAACCATATTAAACATACAGGTATATAATAATATAATATAATACAATCTGGTATATCATAATACAATATTGAACATACAGGTATATTGTAATACAATATTAAACATAAAAGTGTATTATAATATAATATTATATATACAGGCATATCATAATACAATATTAAACATACAGGTATATTATAATACAATATTAAACATACAATATTATAGAAACACGTATATTTTTGACAAATTTTTATTCAAACACGTATATTATAATACAATTGTAATTTAGACCTGTACGTTGTAGAACAAACTTATATCAAAAATCTTTCCTATCTGCTTCTGTCACTCTATGGAATGTGAACTCCCTGAAGACATACGGAATGACGCATCCATAAAAAAAAACTAAAGCTACATCTTAACAGAAACTTACTACAAAAAGATTCATAGTACTTCTGCGGTACTAGAATAGGCCAAATATACCATGCCAGGCTCAGAATGAAATGAATGAAACTAAACGGCCATCTTTTTCATAAAAATCTAGTAGGGAGTCCACTCTGTTCCTGCCGTGAGGCTAACAAAACAAACGATCATTATCTATTATCTTGTCGGAACTATGAACACATTAGACAAATGGCTCCCCAGACAAATATGTTTCAGGCCAATACAAAATCATACCTCAGTAGAAACCCTACTGTTTGGCGACAACAATCTTTCACCTGCCCAAAATCGAAATATATTTAACTGTGTACAAAATTTTATTATTAAATCAAAACGTGTTTTACCTATTTAATTCATACACCCATTTTTTCACTCATTTAAACCTCGGTTTTGTGTGTGCGTGAGGGGGGGGTGCGAGGGGGTGTGGTTGTGCGCGCGCCTGGGTTTTTCCCCATATCAGTTGTGCCATATGCTATCGGTATTTTTGTAGCATCTTTGTAGTAGTACACAACATACATGCCCCACTGTTATAAATCCGTTATGCCATCAGCGACATTGACATAGGTTAACGTTTGTACAATGGCAAATGCTGTTCTTTCTTCTCTTCCTATTTCTTCTCCTCTTTCTTCTACTTAAAAATCTCTATTATCCATTATTATTTCTGCTAAGGAAACAGATTGATATAAGTTTAATAACTTGTTTCTGGATCCTATTTCATGTATGTAATAGTTAAATGGTCTGTATTTTGTAATTGCAAATTTACGAAATAAAATATGGTTTATACTAATACAATTGTATACGAACACGTATATCTTAATCGATATTATACAAACACGTATGTTATAGTTCAATATTATACTAACACGTATGTTATAGTTCAATATTATACAAACACGTATATTATAGTTCAATATTATACAAACACGAATATTATAATACAATATTATACAAACACGTATGTTATAATACAATATTATACAAACACGTATGTTATAGTTCAATATTATACAAACACGTATGTTACAGTTCAATATTATACAAACACGTATATTATAATACAATATTATACAAACACGTATGTTATAGTTCAATCTTATACAAACACGTATATTATAATACAATATTATACAAACACGTATGTTATAATACAATATTATACAAACACGTATGTTATAGTTCAATATTATACAAACACGTATGTTATAGTTCAATATTACACAAACACGTATGTTATAGTTCAATATTATACTAACACGTATGTTATAGTTCGATATTATACAAACACGTATGTTATAGTTCAATATTACACAAACACGTATGTTATAGTTCAATATTATACTAACACGTATGTTATAGTTCAGTATTATACAAACACGTATGTTATAGTTCAATATTATACTAACACGTATGTTATAGTTCAATATTATACAAACACTTATGTTATAGTTCAATATTATACAAACACGTATACTAAAATATAATATTATACAAACACGTATATTATAATACAACATTATACAAACAAGTATATTATGATACAATATTATACAAACAAGTTTATTATGATACATTATTATACAACCACGTATATTATAATACTATATTATACAACCACGTGTATTATAATACTATATTATACAAACACGTATACTAAAATACAATATTATACAAACACGTATATTATAATACAACATTATACAAACACGTATATTATAATACAATATTATACAAGCATGTTTATTATAATACAATATTATACTTGCATGTTTATTATAATACAATATTATACAAACACGTATATCATAATACAATATCATACAAGCATGTTTATTATAATACAATATTATACAAACACGTATATTATAATACAATATTATACAAACACGTATATTATGATACAATATTACACAAACACGTATATTATAATACAATATCATACAATCACGTATGTTATAATACAATATCATACAATCACGTATGTTATACTACAATATCATACAAGCATGTTTATTTTTATATAATATTATACAATCATGTATGTTACAATTCAGTATTATACAAACACGTATATTATAATACAATATTATATACAAACACGTATATTATAATACAATATCATACAATCACGTATGTTATAATACAATATCATACAAACACGTATGTTAAAATGTACACGTATATTGTAATAAAAATTTATACAAATACGTATATATTAAAAATACAATAGCATACATACATGTATGTTATAATATAATATTACATAAACACGTATATTATAATACAATATTATACAAACACTTGTATGCTAATACAATATCATACAAACACGTATATCATAATACAATTTATACCAAATACGTTTATAAAAATACAATATTATACATACAGATATATTATAATTCGATATTATACTAAGACTTTAAATATCATAAAATGTTTTACATACTTGTGTGTTAAAATACAATATCATTCAATTTGGATGTTAAACTGAATACAATATTATTCATTCCTCTCTATTATGATACAATGTAAAACATGTGCATATTAATATTATAAAGATATAATATAACGCATGCATATATATTGTGATACAATTTTATGCATACATGTATATTACATTACAATATTTACTCAATCATATATATTATGATTCAATATTATACCTGCATGCAATTTATCTACGAACACGTATACTATATATAGGATCTTGAAACGAGTCTAAGAATTGTTTAATTTAGCCAGCCTCTGGCGAGCTAAAACGAAAATGAGTGTTACATCCTTTTTATCACATAATCAAGATTTGTGGCATTTATTCGTGTAAAACGACAATTTTCATACAACCTTGAAATGTAAAAAGCCGCCATTTTGACTCAAGTGCGTAAGTCTGTGACGTCATGTACTTGTCCTAAGCGTGACGTCACAATTGTTCATATGACAGGGGTTAACACGCAAAAAATATGACATGATTATATTCACTTGTTAATTCACAGTAAATAATGTGATAAAAACATTATTATACCTACACTTACAATTATAGTTTATTACACAATATTTATACAGTGTATTATGAAATAATATTATACAAACAACAATGCAATTTTTACAAACACGTTTATTGTTATGCAATACTATGCATGTACTTACATGTATATTAAATACAATATAATACAAACATGCATACTGAGGTATAATGTTGCGTAAATCTTTATAATTAAAGAATCCTGAAGATATGATTATTTTGTGAAAAAAATAACCGTCATAAATACTTTTGTTTCTTATACCTAATCATTTATATAGTAAATGAATAGGCAATTTCAAGCCGAAAAAAAGTGCCGAATAAATTGGAACTCTTTTTCGTCGGAGATACAACACAGAGCGTTGGGACTCGCAACGTTAACCTAAGCTTCGGCAGGCATACAATTTTACACTGGAGTAAGGGAGATAACTACAGTATATTAACTAGTGGGAAAGCCCAGAGGGAAACTCCATTATTCTATAAATAATCATCACTGGAACGCCATTTGCAAATGATATTCTCAAACATCACAACTTAAAGACGCCAGGTAAATATGTAGCCGTGTTCATTGTTGCCTGTGTGGCTACGAAGACGTTATATAACAATACTATTTTACAATATACTGTTACAGTACAGAGCCAGGCTCGCCCTGACGTACAGATGGCATGCGTTACATACGGTACCCTCCATCCGAGATAAAACGTCTGCTAAATGGAAACTATCCGTCATCAACTAAATATTCCTATTAAATAAGGTGAAGTGTGGCCAGTACACGACTGTACCGTTGGGTCGATCAGGAGCGGACTAAGGGTGGGAGGGGAGGGCTACTATATTGATTTTTTGTTTATAAGTTACTGGAGCTCAGATTGGGAGGATTTCTCGATGAGATGTGATCGATAAGGGTTCAGAATTTATATCCTGGACCATGGTAACTAGAGGACACATGTGGTTCGGGGAAAGTGTTTTGATAAGAGGCGACTTTATGTGACCCGTGGGGTAACGGGTCAGGTTGTTTCGCCCTAAATCCTATTCGCGCTAAGGGTTGTTTCGCCCTCAATCCCGTTCGCTCAAGGGAGGTTGTTTCGCCCTAAATACCTTTTTATTTTTTTATTTTATACTAATATAATAATGAATATTTAAAAATATTAACTAAACTTATTGATGACTTTCTACATTGGTGTTAGGTATATTTTATGTATCTAGTATGTGAGAGCGGAGTCAGCTTTTCACAGCTGCCGTTTCACAGCCACAGCTGTGTGACACTCGCTTAAAAACAAGACAAACATTTTTTGTTTGTGAAATTGATTTTAATGATATAGCAGACTAAGAAGACTTAATTTGTGTCTTAAAACTACTAACATTGAAAGAAAATACCAAACTATGTTTCGCCCTAAATTTTTTGTTTTAGGGCGAAACAACCTCGGGCGAACGGGATTTCAGGTGAAACAACTCGGAACCACCCCCAGCCCACTCCAAGTAGACTAAGGGGGTCAACCTAACGAGTGTTCAGTATGGAACGCCAAATTAACATATAATTCAAATAATTGCTCCTATCTTCAAATGATTGAAGACACATGTAGGTACAATTCAATTGAATATAGGTGCAATTCAATTGGAGATAGGTACAATTCAATTAAATATAGGTTCAAATATGACGAATTAAACCTATGTTCAATTGAATTGAACCTTTCTTCAATTAATTGTACCTATCTTCAATTAATTGTTCCTATCTTCAATTAATTGTACCTATCTTCAATTATTTGAAGATAGGTACAATTAACTGAATATATATATGTAAATTTGGTGTTCCATAGTCCAGGGAGAAATGATAGTCCAGTGTGGTTTTCGCATGCCAAGGAATTTGTAATTTGATTTTTTTACTTTTTTCTTCTGATTCATTTATTTTATGCACTTACCTAGGTGTGTGCAAAATTTAAGGTCGATGGTAACAGTAAAAAGTACCAAAATACGTTGAGGAAGATGCCTATTTCGGAGGAATGAGTGTCAAGAGATATTTCTGTGCGCCTAGGAATTCGTTAATCATTTTTTTACATTTTTTCTTCTGATTCATCGATATTATGCACTTACCAGTTACTTAGGTGTGTGCAAAATTTCAGGTTGATCATAACAGTATAAAGTACCGAATTACGTCAATAAATATGTTTACGGGGGAGAAGGTGAAGGTTATAATTAGGTCACAGTTATTATATCTGTGTTCCAAGGTGAAGGTTATTAGGTCAGTTATCATAATCGTGTTCCAAGGTGAAGGTTATTAGGTCAGTTATTATATCTGTGTTCCAAGGTGAAGGGTATTAGGTCAGTTATCATATTCGTGTTCCAAGGTGAAGGTTATTAGGTCAGTTATTATATCTGTGTTCCAAGGGGGAGGTTATTAGGTCAGTTATCATATTCGTGTTCCAAGGTGAAGGTTATTAGGTCAGTTATTATATCTGTGTCCCAAGGTGAAGGTTATTAGGTCAGTTATCATATTCGTGTTCCAAGGGGAAGGTTATTAGGTCAGTTATTATATCTGTGTTCCAAGGGGGAGGTTATTAGGTCAGTTATCATATTCGTGTTCCAAGGGGAAGGTTATTAGGTCACAGTTATTATATCTGTTTTCCAAGGTGAAGGTTATTAGGTGACATTTATTATATCTGTTTTCCAAGGTGAAGGTTATTTGGTCACATTTATTATATCTGTTTTCCAAGGTGAAGGTTATTAGGTCAGTTATCATAATCGTGTTCCAAGGTGAAGGTTATTAGGTCAGTTATTATATCTGTGTCCCAAGGTGAAGGTTATTAGGTCAGTTATCATATTCGTGTTCCAAGGTGAAGGTTATTGGGTCACAATTATTATTTCTGTGTTCCAAGGTGAAGGTTATTAGGTCAGTTATTATATCTGTGTCCCAAGGTGAAGGTTATTAGGTCAGTTATCATATTCGTGTTCCAAGGAGAAGGTTATTAGGTCACAATTATTATTTCTGTGTTCCAAAGTGAAGGTTATTAGGTCACAGTTATTATATCTGTGTTCCAAGGTGAAGGTTATTAGGTCAGTTATTATATCTGTGTTCCAAGGTGAAGGGTATTAGGTCAGTTATCATATTCGTGTTCCAAGGGGAAGGTTATTAGGTCAGTTATTATATCTGTGTTCCAAGGTGAAGGTTATTAGGTCAGTTATTATATCTGTGTCCCAAGGTGAAGGTTATTAGGTCAGTTATCATATTTGTGTTCCAAGGTGAAGGTTATTAGGTCAGTTATTATATCTGTGTTCCAAGGTGAAGGGTATTAGGTCAGTTATCATATTCGTGTTCCAAGGTGAAGGTTATTAGGTCACAATTATTATTTCTGTGGTCCAAGGTGAAGGTTATTAGGTCAGTTATCATATTCGTGTTCCGAGGTGAAGGTTATTAGGTCACAGTTATTATATCTGTTTTCCAAGGTGAAGGTTATTAGGTCACAATTATTATTTCTGTGTTCCAAGGTGAAGGTTATTAGGTCAGTTATCATATTCGTGTTCCAAGGTGAAGGTTATTAGGTCACAATTATTATTTCTGTGTTCCAAAGTGAAGGTTATTAGGTCACAGTTATTATATCTGTGTTCTAAGGTGAAGGTTATTATGTCACAGTTATTATTTCTGTGTTCCAAGGTGAAGGTTATTATGTCACAATTATTATTTCTGTGTTCCAAGGTGAAGGTTATTAGGTCACAGTTATTATATCTGTTTTCCAAGGTGAAGGGTATTAGGGCACATTTATTATATCTGTTTTCCAAGGTGAAGGTTATTAGGTCACAATTATTATTTCTGTGTTCCGAGGTGAAGGTTATTAAGTCACAATTTGTATTTCTTGCTTATCAAAGTGTTTAATTTATATAGGGACAAATTTTGTATAATAGTCCAAACTATTGACTGAATTGTCATGTTTTCCTTTATTTTTTTTGGAAATGGTTGAATCTTGTTAATATGTACAATATATAGTTATGTAACATTACATTATACTGAACATGTAGACAATATATTGTATATCAATGTGTATTGATGGATTAGAGGGTTTTATGTGACGGTCATAACACCAAAATAGTATTGATGACCTGTATAATCTCGCCTGTCATTGTGACACAATGACTTATCTTTGTCATACAAGTCATGACAGATAGTATACTGATAGTATACAGATAGTATACTGATATAGTATACCTGGTAATCAAGTTTAGTTAAATCTGTAGCTTTAGGTCACCTAATCAAAGGCTCAAGTGACCTATATGACTTGCAATCCATTTTTATCCATCATACATAAAAAATTGAAGTTTTCAACTTAATCTGAAATACTACTGAAGGGATTTCATTTTTCTTGATGGAAATATGACTGTCATACTGACATTTCCGGAGGAAATGTTCTTTTTTCAGGTCAGTCCAGAAATCCATTACATGGCTGCATGCCATGGCCACCGTTTTAAAAAAACTGTTTGTAACTTAAACTCAAGTTTTATTGAGCTGTTTTGACAGAAACTAGTTTGGGATGTTCTGTTTATGATCCTGACAAAGTGTTGTCAATTTGCAGGTTGATCAGAAATCTAATATGGTCGCCAGAGCCACCATTTTGAGAAAACTATTTCAAACTTAAACTGGATCAAGTTCTAAGGAGTTGATTTTAGTGAAACTTGGTAGAGATCATCACTGATGATCCTTACCACATTTGTACTGATCACGAGAAGATAACTAAGTCACATTTGTTCTGATCACGAGAAGATAACTAAGTCACATTTGTTCTGATCACGAGAAGATAAGTCACATTTATTCTGATCTCGAGAGGATAACTAAGTCACATTTGTTCCAAAAAAAAAAGAGAGAGAGTTTTGTGGGACAGTTAGATTACTAGGTGACTGAACTGGTGTTGGCTGGATTGATGATTACTTTAAACTTTCCATGTATATGTATGTAGGTTGAATGTACCTTATTAATCACCTTCCATGTATATTATATGTAGGTTGAATGTACCTTATTAATCACCTTCCATGTATATTATATGTAGGTTGAATGTACCTTATTAATCACCTTCCATGTATATTATATGTAGGTTGAATGTACCTTATTAATCACCTTCCATGTATATTATATGTAGGTTGAATGTACCTTATTAATCACCTTCCATGTATATTATATGTAGGTTGAATGTACCTTATTAATCACCTTCCATGTATATTATATGTAGGTTGAATGTACCTTATTAATCACCTTCCATGTATATTATATGTAGGTTGAATGTACCTTATTAATCACCTTCCATGTATATTATATGTAGGTTGAATGTACCTTATTAATCACCTTCCATGTATATTATATGTAGGTTGAATGTACCTTATTAATCACCTTCCATGTATATTATATGTAGGTTGAATGTACCTTATTAATCACCTTCCATGTATATTATATGTAGGTTGAATGTACCTTATTAATCACCTTCCATGTATATTATATGTAGGTTGAATGTACCTTATTAATCACCTTCCATGTATATTATATGTAGGTTGAATGTACCTTATTAATCACCTTCCATGTATATTATATGTAGGTTGAATGTACCTTATTAATCACCTTCCATGTATATTATATGTAGGTTGAATGTACCTTATTAATCACCTTCCATGTATATTATATGTAGGTTGAATGTACCTTATTAATCACCTTCCATGTATATTATATGTAGGTTGAATGTACCTTATTAATCACCTTCCATGTATATTATATGTAGGTTGAATGTACCTTATTAATCACCTTCCATGTATATTATATGTAGGTTGAATGTACCTTATTAATCACCTTCCATGTATATTATATGTAGGTTGAATGTACCTTATTAATCACCTTCCATGTATATTATATGTAGGTTGAATGTACCTTATTAATCACCTTCCATGTATATTATATGTAGGTTGAATGTACCTTATTAATCACCTTCCATGTATATTATATGTAGGTTGAATGTACCTTATTAATCACCTTCCATGTATATTATATGTAGGTTGAATGTACCTTATTAATCACCTTCCATGTATATTATATGTAGGTTGAATGTACCTTATTAATCACCTTCCATGTATATTATATGTAGGTTGAATGTACCTTATTAATCACCTTCCATGTATATTATATGTAGGTTGAATGTACCTTATTAATCACCTTCCATGTATATTATATGTAGGTTGAATGTACCTTATTAATCACCTTCCATGTATATTATATGTAGGTTGAATGTACCTTATTAATCACCTTCCATGTATATTATATGTAGGTTGAATGTACCTTATTAATCACCTTCCATGTATATTATATGTAGGTTGAATGTACCTTATTAATCACCTTCCATGTATATTATATGTAGGTTGAATGTACCTTATTAATCACCTTCCATGTATATTATATGTAGGTTAAATGTACCTTAGTCATCCACTGGACTAACTACGTGGTTTGTTAACAGTGTTTGTATACATAGTGCATTTAGAAATGTGCGTCATTACGGGCACAATTTCAAATAAATCCTTCAAAATTCCTTACATTGATAGGCTAATAGCAGATATGTGCATACCAGGGAAATATGGCTGGGAGACATTTTTTGTTTGTTTTTGTCATTATTGTGTGTATCACAAATAGCCATTCAGAGAAAAAAAATGTGGAAAATTGGAAATACCAAACAAATAGGGAAAACATTGTATTTTCAGTTTCCTAGTAGTTTTCATGTACATTTTCTATTTATAGGTCTTTGTTTCTCAGTATTTCATCTCAATAATTCGTATTTAGCATAAGGAAATCCAGAAATTGTACTTGCATTATCTGCAACATAATTATATAGCAGTGAGCTGTGTGTGCATTGATATATATATACCAAGGTACTTTTCAGTAATGACCAGTAACCTATTAACATAATTATATAGCTCAGTGAGCTGTGTGTGTATTGATATATATATGCCAAGGTACTTTCCAGTAATGACCAGTAACCTATTAACATAATTATATAGCTCAGTGAGCTTCGTGTGCATTGATATATATATACCAAGGTACTTTTCAGTAATGACCAGTAACGTACCTATTAACATAATTATATAGCTCAGTGAGCTTCGTGTGCATTGATATATATATACCAAGGTACTTTTCAGTAATGACCAGTAACCTATTAACATAATTATATAGCAGTGAGCTGTGTGTGCATTGATATATATATACACCAAGGTACTGTTCAGTAATGACCAGTAACCTATTAACATAATTATATAGCAGTGAGCTGTGTGTGCATTGATATATATATACCTAGAATTCTATCTCCATTATTTCCTTCTTTGTTTTTCAGAGAGAATTGAAGGATGCTGTGAAGAAGACAATGAGAACGTTTCTGTGCACATGTTGTTGTAAATAACACCCATTGTAGGTGTGTTACAACTACATGTGCACGTTCTGTACCTGTACTTGTAAGTACGCTTAATACACCCATCCTGTTCTGTATGACACGAAATCTTCGTGGGTACTTTCCTTCGTAGTTTGAAGCCTTTTAGATTGTTTCGTGGTACAAAATTTCGTGGATATCCTATATTAACAACAGTAGACATGTAAATCATTCAAATTTGTTCGTATTTATTTTCGTGGTTCAATAGCAACCACGAAAACCACGTATGTTTATACACCACAAACATTTCATGTTATACAGTAATCAGTGACAGCATTATGATGTGATAAAACCACCAGACTATTGACTGCTGACATAATGAGCTGTAAGTCTGCTTCCTTGATATACACTAACTCAAAGCTGTGATAACATCATCCTATTTTCTTTCTTCATATCCTGGTATAAACCTTTATAGTATCATATTTACAGGGCAGAATCAACGTTCACACGTTTCACTTCCATGTGTGTATAAACTTAGCGAGGGATATACAAACAGGTTCCGTGTGTGTGTCTGTCCGTCCATATCTCTAAAACCATTACAGATTCCTCAAACTTTCCACAGGAGACTGTCAAAGTGTAGAGCAGTGCCTTTTAGCCCACCATCATCTGTTCAAACCACTCGTCGTCCGTGGTCAGCTGTCTGTCCTTAAACAATTCTTTTTATCGTTATTTCTCAGAAAGTACTTGACGGTTCTTTCTCAAATTTCACATGTAAGTTCCCCTTGGTCCTTACTTGTGCAGGTTTTATTTGAGAGTGATCTTAAAAGCAATATGGCTGCACAAAGTACTAAACAGATCTTTCTCTTATTGAAATGATCGCTTCTATTTCTTTTGCATTAATGAAAGTGTACTTATACTATTCTAGTAATTATGTGAAACGACAAACTCTCTTGTCTTTTATACACAGCAGTATGAATTTGAAATCAAAAGTTACCTCAAGATGCATTTACTGTTTACATCATGACTCGATCAAACTGACATAGGACTAATGAAGATGGTACAATGGTGGGCGCTAAGACCACTCTGGGATCTCTATTTGATATGATTAAGTGCATTATTTCAAGAAATTTCCAGTTGTCATTAAAAAATAATGATAATTTTCGTGCATTAGTTAATCACAGAAGAGAATGTTGCCTTTTGATATTTTTAAGTAACTTCTGCGCTCAAGAAATATCCTGTTGTCATGAAAACAGCATCTGAAAAGCTGTAAAAGGTAAAAGTTTAAACTGCAGGGGAAATTTTTCCAGGATTCAATATTCATTCTATTCTTCCCTTTTCAGACTAATAAGCAGAGCAAAATGAACGGCGAGGACGACATTGCGGTACTTGACCAACAAGAGGATATAGATAACCTGGGATACCCAGTTCCTGTCACAGACGATTTCCAAAGTAACCTTCAACTGTACATTAGTACTGGCAAGCCAGAGAATGACGCTGCCTCGCTGCATGCCCTCAGGAACGCCTACCATGATCTTAAACTCCGATACAATGAACAAACCGCAAAGGTGCACTCCATGAGACAGGCGATAAAGGACATGGAAGCCCAAAGGATTCAGAACACCAATCGCCCATTTATTATGAACACCACTGCACTGGCTGGCGCAGCCGGAGCAGGAAATCAAACAGCTTCAGGAGCTGTGGAGCCCAACCCTCACCTTCGCGCTAATTTAGGGTACGCAGATAGCTTACAAAGACAAATTCTTCGTTTGAAAAATACAAGTGCAGGGAGGGAAAAGGAGATGGAGAGAAAGTATTCAGATTTATACACAAAGTACAAAAGATTGGAGGCTGACGTTAATACCTTACAGCTGCGTAACAGAAAAACAACAGCAGAACTAGAAAAATCAGCAAATCTATTAAAGGATCGTGATATGCTCATTGAACAATTGTCAGACCGCAAAGACTTATTAGAGAAAAAGGTTGGAAGACAAAACCCAGAGTCGTTCTCAGAAGAGAGTAGACTACAAGAAAAACACATGATGGGGATAATGGAATATCAGACGAAGTACATTGATGAGCTGAAGGAAAAGGTTCAGGAACAGAACAGTATCATCAATAAGCAGCTGGACATGATCAAAACATTTTGTAGGAATCAAAAAGGTAACACAAGGCTCCAGCAGCTGGAGCACAAACTGATTCTGATTTACATACATGTTTGTATACATAGATTTAACATTAAGCAATTATGAAACATGGTTTGAGCTGTTTGATTAAGATTCATTTTGAGGAAAAAACATTTTGAAGTAGTTTAGTCTTGGACAAACGTTTAATGATGAGGTCATAAAGTGCAGTACTGTGTAAATGGTCAAACACATATATACTCAGAAACTGCTCCTCTCTGAGCATTGGTTGTACCTAAATATAATCAGTAAAACTTGTTTTATTATAAAGACTTGGACAATATTCATGTATGCAGGTACTGTATGTGTATTTCATATTTCATATTTTTATGAATCTGTTATGTTGCTACTGAGGTAATATACATCATAATTTAAGTGTTCTATAACGTGGCTGAATTTATGTATACTCCTATGCCTATGGTATACTATTGTATATTTTTATTTCTTCTGTATTAGTTCCTTCGTTAAAGCTACCAGAAAAATATCTTTTAGGGCTATCAATTCAGTTGATTGAGTGTCATTCTGAGGCTTATATACATATGTACAATCAATTTTGGCCTACACGCTTTTATCCCTAAATAATTATGAATTAGGAAGTAAATAGCTGTAATGAATACAGTACTTGTCAGTAGCAAACTTCATGCAAAATGTAACTTATTTTTGTTCATACAGGCAAAATTATGAAAAACAATTCCATTCATTCCCTGTTTGAATCTCTAAAGAAGTGTCTTTTACATGCATAGGGATATGGGATCAACTGTTTTGTGTCCAATTTCAGGAATTGTAGTTATGTTAACAAGTTAAGTCCCAGGGCTCTTGTGGGGGGTTTAAACATAGGGTCAATCTACCCACGTATCATTTAATGTATGTTGAAACCATACTAGGAAATTATTGTAAGTATTTTTTGTCATTTCAGAGGCTGAAGCTGCAGCTTCGAGAAACAGTGATTACCAGATTCAAGATTCTGCCAGACGGCCTGACGGAGAATCTCTTCTCCCACTTAATGTGTTAGAACAACATGGTGCTGGGGCAAGACCTCGCCAATCAGGTGCTCTCACAATCAGTGCACAAACACATTTGCAGAACACGGGGAGTAGTCCTCCTTCCAGTAGTAGACAGCAGTATGTGCCAAATCAGCTTGACACACCAGTGTATTCACGCGAGTCACTGGCGGAAGTGGAAGCGAGAAGGCAAAATAATTCGACATTACATCAAAACTTTGCTGATGCCAGGATAAGCAGGGGCCCTGTCATGGTTCAGTCTCCGTCTTCAAACCAGTTACCTGTGCCAGCACCACAGCCTTCACATGATGCTCCAGACTCACCTGTTCTCAACAGATCCCCCAAAATGTCCTCTCCGAAGATACCAGTAAATCCCTCCGGCAGTTCTTACTCCATGGCACGGTATCTTGACCAACAACCGGGACTGCGTCTAGAGGATGCTTCAGTATTGCCTGACACTATATACCAACCATCCAGCGATGGGCGTCAAGGACCCATGTACGAAAATGACCAGCGCTTACAAGCCCTTCGAATAGATGATAAAAAATTAACTTTGAATGATACAATTTATAGGAGTGCTGCACCGCAAGGATCATATACAAGGCTGGAGGATAGTGGGACTGTTGTTTTGTATCCGCCATTACCATCATCACAGGAAGCCAATTACGAAAATATCAAGGTGTTTCTCCCACCAACACAAGAGCAGGCCAACGGAGATTACGCTAATGTGTCAGCGTTAATAGGGCGCAGTGACCAGTCAAATGGTAGTAATACCCAGAAATGTCCAGTGTGTAATAAAAATTTCCTAACTACGCCCATTGATAAATTCCAACAACATGTTTTGGATTGTATGGATGTCAATGAGGAGGAGGGAACTCCAACGCTGCAAAATGTATCACAGGGAGAAAATGGTCGAGAATGTCCAATGTGCACAGCAGTGTTTCCAGGAGGACTGCCTCAGGAAGAGTTTGAAAGACACGTCCAGGAACATTTTGGGGAAGACCCTATGATGGAGAGGTTTGAAGTGCTGCAAGCCTAGATGTTATTTTCTATTTTAATGTGAGTGGTGAATGTATGGTTTATCAATTGATTTTGAAATTCTGTGTCTTTGTTTTAATTAAGGGCTGAGAACGATTTAAATTAACAGCCCAACTGGTGAACTAAAATAATGACTGTACTTTTAAAAAATTAAGGTAGAGAATATCGGTGAAATATATATACGATATTAGAATTTACATAGATTATCTTTCTGTAAAAGACTCTGTATAGTGTATTTGCTTGTCTTAATGTTAACGGCACATGTTATGGTACATGCTTATTGACAATGGGACTTATATTATTTTTTCACTTCTGCAAGTTTAATAACCAGTTGTATCCAATGAACATTTTTGGAGTTATGGGCCTTTATTGATTTCTGTCTGCAGTGTCTGCTCATCCTGAATTATAGATTAACTTAAAATATTTAAGAATGGCTAATTTTTTATAAAAGCTTGAACATTGATGTAATAAAGGTATCACATGTATACGGAAACATTGTTCTGTATACCGTTTATTTATCGGTTCCTGAAAAAATATTTCTTTATTATCAGTAACAAGTGTAGTATGTACTGCTTCACGCTCACTTAGGTAACTAATGCTATCATTTCAAGGAAACTTCATACGCATAAGAATCATCACTAAGTGTAACAACAAATTCTAAATTCAAGTGTCAAATCAATGTCCAAGAGATATGATGTTGAAAGTCTAGTTTACATGTTTACATTTATATATTGTGATCTGTCTTCATTTGTCGTCCACAATCCTGACAAAGTGTTTTTTATTTTTCGGGTCAGTCAAATATCCATCACGACCTACCATCACCTGAAATATAATTTGAACTCCAGTTGTGCTGCAGTGAAATTAAACTGATGAAAACATTAAGCCTGTTGGCCTCTTCTTAGATGTATACAGTTGGACTGAAAGCCTGCTTTAGGAATGAATAGGGGCTTGAAGATCTGGTTACAACACGTTTCTGGGTCCCCTTATAAAGTGTTCTGTTTAGACAGGATTCACTGAAACATTAGGATGAGAAAGTTATAATGTACAGCTGTATCATAAGACAGGCAACATACACATTGACATTGTTATGACATGACCAGATTTCCTATGGATAATTTGACTAATAAACATGCAGAATGGTTTTGTTGAAAATTGGAGAAATTATTTTTAATTTTTTAACATTTTAAATAATTCCATATTTTTTGTTTTTATTGAGTTTATGCCAGTGTTTGAGAGATATTCGTAATAATTTTGTTGTCATCGTCATTTTCCCCTATTGTTGTTTAGTATTTATTTAGAGTTTTCCTCACACAACACTGATTACATTTTCCGTTTCTCATTAATAACATTTTTTTCTTTTTCGCTAATTCATTCACTCAACTCCATGTACAGTTTGTGATCCCCTCCGAGATATAGACAAGAGGCCATTTATAGTAATCTTACCCAAACGCGGTACAATGGCAGAATGCAAAGATGACCCCAATGAAATTTGAGGTCAAAGGTCAGGATACACAGTAATATGTAAATGTTAAGATTTCTCTAGGGTATGCCTCTTTGGCTCCACAGTTCAAGTCTAGTATGTTAATCTGATTATATTTAAACTGAGCACAATGATTGGACATGACAATGGGAGGAACAAGGTCAAAAGTCAAGGTACCTTCTGTACCCAAGTTACACACCCTCTAATAGACTGTAGACTTCTGTACCCTCTAATAGACTGTAGATTCTTCTGTACCCAAGTATACACACCCTCTAATAGACTGTAGACTTCTGTACCCTCTAATAGCCTAGACTTATGTACCCTCTAATAGACTGTATACTTCTGTACCCTCTAATAGACTAAAGACTTCTGTACCCTCTCATAGACTGTAGACTTCTGTACCCTCTAATAGACTAAAGACTTCTGTACCCTCTAATAGACTGTATACTTATGTACCCTCTAATAGACTGTAGACTCCTCTGTACCCTCTAATAGACTGTAGACTCCTCTGTACCCTCTAATAGACTGTATACTTATGTACCCTCTAATAGACTGTAGACTCCTCTGTACCCTCTAATAGACTGTAGACTCTTGTGTACCCTCTAATAGACTGTAGACTCTTGTGTACCCTCTAATAGACTGTAGAATTCTGTACCCTCTAATAGACTGTAGACTCCTCTGTACCCTCTAATAGACTGTAGACTCCTCTGTACCCTCTAATAGACTGTAGACTCCTCTGTACCCTCTAATAGACTGTAGACTCTTGTGTACCCTCTAATAGACTGTAGACTCTTGTGTACCCTCTAATAGACTGTAGACTCTTGTGTACCCTCTAATAGACTGTAGATTCTTCTGTACCCAAGTATACACACCCTCTAATAGACTGTAGCCTTCTGTACCCTCTAATAGCCTAGACTTCTGTACCCTAAAATAGACTGTATACTTCTGTACCCTCTAATAGACTGTAGACTTCTGTACCCAAGGGCATTTGTATCATTGGCGATGCCTTGTTATTTCTTAATTTAATCAATTTTCAGATAATATATTCAGATTTTTTTAGAATTCTTGAGGTAAATACAGTAAATATGAAGTTGAAATCAAGGTTATACTTAGTGTATGTACTCAGCAGATTGCTTTCCTCCTGAAGAGATACATCATTTTCTACCATTGTCTGCTATCTAGTGATACACACTGACATAGAAATCTCAAACGTGGAAATATACTGTTTGTAAAGCTTGAGTATTTAGCAGTGTATCAAAGGAGCTATGAGATCAGAAAAGGTCATCACTGTGACCAGGAACTTCTGTCCTGAACTCCTAACGTGCACCGTTTATCATTTTCATTTTCAGAAAACAAAGCTTTATGTATGTAAGTTACATCAAGAGATATTAAAACCTGATTTAAAGTAAGGAAGGTGTCACCCTATACCTATTTCCCCTCCCCTACATCAACCATCAAACACATGTTACTTTGGGAGATGGAGCAATCTCCCAGAATATCTGTCGATTTGTTTACATTTCTGTTCAAGATGCAAACTTCAGGTCACAGAAAGCTCTAACTTGATATGGGATTTGTCCCACAAGTAAGAGAGAGGAAGAAACCTGATGATCCTACGTGTACTTTGTAAAAGGTCGAGGTCACTGTTAACTAATGGTGTTTTTTGTCCAGACCCATAACTTCCAAACTCATAATTGCACAAATCTCTAGGCTAATATTTGCTTTGTTGGTTGTCAACGATCAAGGTCCCAGTTATTGAATATAATAATTCCTTTTCTGGATCCCAGCTCTAAAAGACATGGTCACAAAATGTACAAATTTGGTGCTGTATGTTGGTTGACCTAAGGAAGAGCAACAATTCGGTCAATGGTCAAGGTCAGTGTGACTGAAAATGGAATTTCAAAGAACAAATGACCAATCAAAGTCTTATCTTTGTGCATGAATTGTCTTAGAGAAGAGGATCAACTCTATTGATTTTGCTTTTTGTTAAAAGTGAGATCACTTACTAAAAGTAGAATTGCCTTGTCCTGATCACAACTTAAGGACTAATGATCCCACCAAGTTCAGACTTGTTATGTTGGTTGTCTTAGAGCAGACTCATTTTGAGTGTGGTTCAACAAAGGTAAAGGTCACTGTTATTTAAAAATAGAATTGTTCAGAACCTAACTACCAGATACATGATCCTACAAGTTCATCTGAATCATGTTACTCAGAATCTGTAATCTGATACTAATAAAAACTTTAATGTTAACATTCTGGTCCCGCCATATATTTAACTTCAGAAATTAGTAAGTTTTTCTCAAATACTACTTAAAATATTTTCCCAGTGCCTTGAAATTTAAGGCAACAATTTGAAGTTATCAATGACAAAGAAACTTTGTAACTGCCAATCAACAACACAACCTCCTCCTATTGTCAACAACACAACCTCCTCCTATTGTCAACAGCACAACCTCCTCCTATTGTCAACAACACAACCTCCTCCTATTGTCAACAACACAACCTCTACCTATTGTCAACAACACAACCTCCTCCTATTGTCAACAACACAACCTCCTAAAGTCAACAACACAACCTCTTCCTATTGTCAATAGCACAACCTCCTCCTATTGTCAACAACACAACCTCCTCCTATTGTCAACAATAAAACCTCCTCCTATTGTCAACAACAAAACCTTATCCTATTGTCAACAGCACAACCTACTCCTATTGTCAACAACACAACCTTTTCCTATTGAAACAAATAGATGTAACAATACCAACTGTTGGTGAGGGGATTCACTATGCTGCCCATTGCAGCTCGTCAACAGCACAACCTCCTCCTATTGTCAACAATAAAACCTCCTCCTATTTTCAACAACACAACCTCATCCTATTGTCAACAGCACAACCTCCTCCTATTGTCAACAACAAAACCTCTTCCTATTGTCAACAACACAACTTCCTATTGTCAAAAACACAACCTCCTCCTAATGTCAACAACACAACCTCCTCCTATTGTCAACAATAAAACCTCCTCCTATTGTCAACAACACAACCTCTACCTATAGTCAACAACACAACCTCCTCCTATTGTCAACAACACAACCTCCTCTTATTGTCAACAACACAACCTCCTCCTATTGTCGACAGCACAACCTCCTCCTATTGTCAACAACACAACCTCTACCTATTGTCAACAACACACCCTCCTCCTATTGTCAACAACACAACCTCCTAAAGTCAACAACACAACCTCTTCCTATTGTCAATAGCACAACCCCCTCCTATTGTCAACAACACAACCTCTTCCTATTGTCAACAACACAACTTCCTATTGTCAAAAACACAACCTCCTCCTAATGTCAACAACACAACCTCCTCCTATTGTCAACAACACAACCTCTACCTATTGTCAACAACACAACCTCCTACTATTGTCAACAACACAACCTCCTCCTATTGTCAACAATAAAACCTCCTCCTTTTGTCAACAACACAACCTCATCCTATTGTCAACAACACAACCTCCTAAAGTCAACAACACAACCTCTTCCTATGGTCAATAGCACAACCTCCTCCTATTGTCAACAACACAACCTCTACCTATAGTCAACAACACAACCTCCTCCTATTGTCAACAACACAACCTCTACCTATTGTCAACAACACACCCTCCTCCTATTGTCAACAACACAACCTCCTAAAGTCAACAACACAACCTCTTCCTATGGTCAATAGCACAACCTCCTCCTATTGTCAACAACAAAACCTCCTCCTATTGTCAACAACACAACCTCTACCTATAGTCAACAACACAACCTCCTCCTATTGTCAACAACACAACCTCTACCTATAGTCAACAACACAACCTCCTCCTATTGTCAACAATAAAACCTCCTCCTATTGTCAACAACAAAACCTTCTCCTATTGTCAACAGCACAACCTCCTCCTATTCTCAACAACACAACTTCCTATTGTCAACAACACAACCTCCTCCTAATGTCAACAACACAACCTCCTCCTATTGTCAACAACACAACCTCCTAAAGTCAACAACACAACCTCTTCCTATGGTCAATAGCACAACCTCCTCCTATTGTCAACAACAAAACCTCCTCCTATTGTCAACAACAAAACCTTATCCTATTGTCAACAGCACAACCTACTCCTATTGTCAACAACACAACCTTTTCCTATTGAAACAAATAGATGTAACAATACCAACTGTTGGTGAGGGGATTCACTATGCTGCCCATTGCAGCTCTCTCATACCTTTATGCTAATGTTTCCTGATACTGAGATTTATACCTGTGACTGTAAAAGGTATTAGCGTTAATATACATGTAATACAAATTAGAATAAATATATCGATCATTGAAATAAATATCTGTAATAAATAAAAATCATGTTTTGTTCATTTGGTACAGGGTTACTCAATATTCTTTGTGTATCTAGTAAGGGTTTAACCAATCAATATAACACACATGACGGCACAAATCTGATATAAAAGATACAGGTTTATGTTTATAACGATGACCAATCTGAGTTGCAGCCTTTTCCCCCTTAAGCCAATCATAATCTCCGACATTTAGTAATAGAGGGGGCGTGCTGGGTTTTCACTGAACAGATATCAAATTGAACCTGCTGGTTTTCAATGAACAGGAAAATAGGGTACGAACTAGGTATGCTTTGAACCGGTAAACAAGGTTGCTGTTACTAAATATGATAATTCCTTGTCTAGGTCCTAACTAACTGAATGGCCACAAGATCCACAGACGTCGTATATCGGGATCGCCTTCAGGGTAAACTCTGAACAAGAAAAAGGCAACCAGCTGCATATACTCTCATCTAATAAACTGGATACCAGTTTGGTATTCTCTGAACAGAAAAACAGGGATCCAGCTTGGTATACTCTAAACAGATAAACAGGAATCCAGCTGGCTATACTCTGAACAGATAAACAGGGATCCAACTGGGTATACTCTGTCTGAACTGATAAACAGGGATACAGCTGGATATACTGTCTGAACTGATAAACAGGGATCCAGCTGGGTATACTCTGAACAGATAAACAGGGAACCAGCTGGGTATACTCTGAACTGATAAACAGGGATCCAGCTGGGTATACTCTGAACTGATAAACAGGGA